CGAATGTTCTTACCACACTCGTAACACTGTGCTGACGTGTCATCTTCTATTTCCATTTTTTTACGACAACAAATATACTTATTTGGCTTAGTAGGTACAAACTTGGGTTTCAAGCACTTTACACAGAAGTCATAAACAAACTCTTTACATTCGTGCATCGTATATAAGACAAATATTTTAACTTAGTAATGCGGGGCACCAGTAAAACCCGTAGAGAGCTTTTCAAATCGAATTACACAGGCAATACACATAGCGACCTTACGGGTAATACCCACGGCGGTCGCATAGTGTTTGGCGGGGGTAATAGCCGGGTCGGCCGGTACCCCCTCCGCGAGTCCCCCTACCTGCTGCTATTTATTCAATGCAAAATCGTTTTTTATTAGCAATATATATAAAATGCAAACTTCTTATCTGCTACAGCTATCTACCTTGAGTCATGGACGATGAAGATGGGTGGCAAATGTTCCCGAAACCGCCAAATAAGGCGAAGACTACTTGCTTTGATCAGTGTATCTTCTGCCAAAAAACTCACCCTGTCCTGCGTAAGTCAAAATCTTCCTCAATTGAAAGAGCGTTATCTGCAATAGAGATTCGAAACGACGAGGTGTCCCAACGTCTGTCTGCCTACGATCTACAGGGGAAGGACATTTTGTGGCACTCATCGTGCTATGAAGCCTATACCAGCAAGGAAAACCTACGGTTTTGCACTACACCGTCTTCAGACGATGTTCAAGTAACAGCAGACGGGGCAGTTCGTTTGACTGGTCCAAGTGCATCTTCTGCAAAAAGTTAAGCCGGAAAGGACAAACAGCTTATAAATATTGCCACATTTGAAGCATGCTCTTCCATCAAAACATCTGCAGAAGCACGAAAAGACCACGACCTAATGATGCTACTACAGTCCGTCAACTACAAACTTATAGCAGCTGAGGGAAAATACCATAAAGCATGTCATGCTTCGTACATCAGCAAAGTAAATATCAATGTTAAAAAGAGCGCGTAAGCTTTAAACGACCACGGAAGTCCGTTTGATAAAGCATTTGATAACTTAATCAACACCATAAACCCTGAAATTGAGTGCGGAAAAGCCTACGACATGAATGTTCTTCTAATCATGTTCATAAAAGAGATGGAAAAGATGGGGAAGGATGCAGATAGTTATACAAAGCAGAAACTAAAATCGCGGTTAATGGCTCATTATAAAGAACACCTCGTTTTTCAACAGCCGCCTCTGCAATCTAAACCAGAGATCGTGTATAGTAGTTCTATATCGTTAATTGATGTCATAAATGCGGCCAGTCACAGTCCTCCCCCTGACACTACAAGCACTATTACAATAGCTAAAACAGAAGCGTCTACATGTGACTTTCTCGAAATTTACTCTGTAGCTTCACAGATCAGGCGCGAGATGATGCAGTGTAAGGGTACTAACATCAAGCCACTTAACGTTGATGATTTACAGTTAGAGGACTCTAAAAAGCTTCTTCCCCAGCGACCATACTGGCTTCTAAGGGGGATTGTCACTGGAGAACAGTATAGCGAATGTTCGTCTTCCAGTGCAAGTAATACTGCAGATGAACAAACAATTATCCTGACTGGGCAAGATCTTATCCACTGCGCATCCCATGCAAGAATAAAGCTTCCCAAACACCTAAGTCTCGCAATGTCTATCAAGCACTTAACTGGATCGAAACAGCTGATATCTCTTTTAAACAGAATGGGTCATTGCTGCTCTTATGAAGAGACTGAAGAAGTAGAAACCAGCTTAGCCAATGAAAGCTTAGCAAGAGCAGATGATGCTGGCGTTATAATTCCAACCAACATTAGCCCTGGAGTTTTCGTACAGATGGCGGCTGACAACAATGATATAAATGAAGAAACAATTGATGGAAAAACACAACACACGCGACAACATCGGCTCTATACCAGCGCAAGCAGTACGGCCCAATGCCAGAGAGGACAGTTCACGCTGATCACTCTAAGAAGAAGCAGCGATCCCTAGATTCAACACGGAATCTTCTCGTCATAGAAGACGTAAATGTTGGAGGCAGACGCCCTTCCGTAGCAGACTATATTGGAGAAGATGTCAAGAGCTTCTTTAAGCTAGACCGCCAGTTCAAATCCACCTGCATGGACGACCTCTGCTGGATGCTTCTCCGACTTTCAGATCCCTTCGTGGTAAGTAACCAACAGATGCCAGAAGTGCAGATCATACCAGGGTGGAGTGGATTTAACACCTTCACACATCCTAGCATCCCAGTGGAGACCAGTATCGGTTACCACCCAATTGTGAATGCTGAAGCAAGCGACTTCTCTACCCTCTACACCATCATGACACAAGCACAAAAAACTGTAATGCTCTGGGACAGCACGACTCAGTCATCATTCTTGATCTGGCACTCTATGTGAAAGCTAAGCAGCTGCAGATGAAGTTCCCGGACGAGTTTAAGAACACAGTCATCAGAATGGGGGGCTTTCACATTGCTCTGAACTATCTCTCCCTCCTTCAGGCTTAGAAGATCTACTTATTGAGTCGGGAGTCTATGCAGCTGGAATAACCTCTGCTTTAATGCTTGGCAAGTCATACAACCGAGGTATCCGCGCCCACAAGCTTGCCATGGAAGCACTATTCAGGCTTTTGTGGCAGGCTCTCCTGGAATGGCTGCAAAACCAAGAGGTTACATAGGAAGACGAAGAGTTGAAGCAAACTTTTGTCAGCAAAAGTAACGAGTGCCGAGACACGCTAAGGAATAAAGCTTTCGATAATAGCGCCTGGCTGCCATTTCAAACTTGTGCCCACCCACTAACTATAATGTTAGATGCATTTAAATTCGAAAGCAGGAAGAAATCAAAGGTTTTCAGCTTCTGGGAACAATACATTGATATGGTGTGTTACTCTTACAGTTCATAAAAGCCGAACGAACTGGGAAATGGAAACTTCATCTGTCAACTACTTCTGCCATGGTTTCCCATTTCTTTTCTTTGGACAGGGTCAACTATGCTAGATGGCTCCCTGTGCATGTTTCGGACATGAATGCATTACAATCAAAACATCCCGAATTCTATCAAGAGTTCATGGCTGGAAACCACAGTGTAAGCCGCTCAAAGCAACCATTTGCTCAGGTTTAGAACAGTCCATTAACTTGGATTCAAAGTCAAAGGGCGGCACTGTTGACATTAGTACCAGAGAAAATGCAGTAGAGCGATGGTTCTTAACCAGCCATGATCGAGCAGCGATAACCCAAGCTCTAAAAACGATGTGCGGAATCATGACTTGTGGCCGAATTGGGACTTACAAGGAAGCTGGAGCAGCAAGAGCTACTAGAGACGAGAAAGATGTACAGAAACTAGTTTCAAGTTTCGAGAGCGGTCTCCTTCGAAACCCCTTCTACATTCCAGATGACATTCCAGATTACGAAGTGCCATTGCCCTTGACTAGCCTTGCTACTGGGGTTGTGCTACCAGATGCTCATGCAGACAGACTTCTAGACGCAGTAGAACTAGGAAAACAAAGTATGGAAAGCTTTATCTCATCAAGGATTCAAACTAACAACATCAGTTTCAGGGATCCAATTCACAAGCTGAAAATCAATTCTTTCAGCTTAGTAGCCAATAAAAGCAAAAACCATACAGCCAATGAAATCTTTCAGCTTAGTAGCCAAGAAGATCACAGTAAATAATCAAAAAGTGAAGATGATATCCGTTAATGGAGATTGTGAGCTTATCAGTCGTCTTCTTGTAGCTGCGAAGACCAGAGATATCGATTTGAAGGAAGTACTTTCCTATGAGCTTTGCTCTGTGCCGCTTGTTCTTGCAAACTCTGATGGCAGCCTAAGGAAGACTGCAAAAAGCAACCTGATGGGAATTCTAGAAAACGAAACCACATGCATCCCAAGTCGTCCTCCTTCACAAATTCCTACAGCATGTATCATCGACACAATGGCTCTTATACAGATGGTGAAGTCTACAGGGTCTACAACAGGGTCTGACGTCGTCGTTCTTTCAACAGCACATTTTGAAGATCTGCACTGCCAGGAGCTGGGGTTTAAAACAGGAGTAAAGGACAAACAGAGATACATACCAGTCCATGCTATTCATTCTTCTCTTGGTCGGCCTCTTAGCCAGTGTCTATTATCATTTCATGCCCTAACTGGATGCGATTCGACAAGTGCCTTCTCTGGAATCGGAAAGAAAAAGGCCTGGAAGGTATTGACGACCCAAGAGCACATGCAGCGCGATCTCAGCCGTCTAGGAGATATTCTTATCATAGAAGACAAAGTACAGAAAGTGGCTGAATCTTTCGTCTGTTTCAAGGTTCAAGGTTTTTTTATTTCCCAGAATGAGAATTTTATACTTTACATCACTATTTAAAAAAAAATAACTGGGAGGGGCAGAAGAAAACAACCCAAAAGGGTTAGGAGAATATTTCTGCACCTTGAAACTATATAATACTTTCAAATAAGAACTTACAAGGGGGAAAGTAGCAAACTAAAATAGATTCAATACATATAAAAAGTTATACATAATAAAGTGAAGTTTGAACTAAATTAAAGTAGGAAATAAAGTTACATTGAAGCAAAACCTAAATAGAATCAAAATTCTAAAGCAACAGGTGTTTTTAAGCTTATCTTTAAAGACTTTATGTGTTGAACTGGTTTTTATATTATGTGGTAAATCATTCCAGTTTGCGACAGCTGCATACTTAACACCAAACTTCCCATAATTCAGGTTTACTGGAGGGACATGTTCACTTTACACTTCTATAAAGAGCTTTCAAGTGCAGACGCCAGATATGACGCCAGATATTTTCTTTTTTGTCAAAAGAGTAAGAAAAGTCAGGAACTTCCTCCTACGTCAGAATGCCTTTCTCATCATATCAAGAGGGCAAACTTTCAAGCTTTTATTTGGAAAAAAGCACTTATCCCACACCAGAACCTTCCATCACCTGAAGAAAATGGATGGAAGGTGGAAGATGGCAAGTTATCCGCAGTTCTCATGACAAGACCTCCTGCACCATCAGGAATCATAGAGCTGACCACGTGTGGCTGCACAACATCCAACTGCAAAAGAAACTGTTCTTGGAAGAAAAGTGAACTACCATGCACAGAGGCATGTCTGTGCATGGCAGACGAAGAATGCTGTAACACGATGAATGTAAGTTTATTTCCTTATGATGATTCCAGTGACTCAGATACAGAGTGAAAATTCCGTAAACTTGGATCTCGACCATTAGAAAACATGCATGCTGGGAGATCACGCGCCATCCAATCAGAATGCCATTAATCCAGCGAGCGCTATAGAGGATTTGCACCTTCACGTGACGGCAGCCATGACAGGAGGCACAACAATAGTTTTTTTCCCCTGGGAAACTGAATTCTTTCTAATGTAAATCAGATTAGACCACATTCAAGTGTTCCTGCCTCCTGTCATGACATCCATCACGTGATGGTGCAAAGCCTCTATATATGAGACATGCCATCGAGTCTACACCAACGGACTAGCAGCTTGCAGTCTAAATGGCGTGGTCCTTACACCTATCGGACCTCAATCGTTAGACAACCGAATAACTCGGTACCTTTTCAAAAGTTTCGGAGTTAAATTGACTGCCAAAATTAATTACATATAGCTTGTTTTTTTCCTGTAGTTTTACGAGACACAATCTAGCTAACTTGTTGTAGTATCTTATTTTCATTTAAGTTTCTTTAAAAAGTATTTAAATGGAAAGATTTGACTCGAGTAAGACCTGTTTGAAGTTCAGCCTCGTTTCCATTCTGACTAAGGCTTAGATGAGGACACCTTAGTATTTTAATCAGTTTCTTAAAATTTGTGGTTTTGAATGGATTTTAGCGAGGCAGTAGCCACAAAGAAAAATATTTCAGAGTTAATGTAAGCTTAAGCTATAAAGTAGAAGTAATTGATCGCTCGATATGCTGTAAACAAAGTTTTAAACCATTTCATAATTTTCCTTTAGCAAGAGGGCTTTGCAATGGAATGTTATGAAGTCATATTTTATTCAAGCTTTAAAAAAATAGACAGTTTAGTTTGTGGGGAAAAAAAGAATAAGAATTTGTAATTCTTCGAGATTCCATCTTGTGTAATACAGAATATTGTAGGTATGTTTTCTAGGTATGTTTTCATTGATTTAGATGCGCACCAGTTTCCTGGCCATGGACACCTGGGAAGTCGAGTATCCATTGCCCAAAAAAAACAGATGAGGGAATTACAACCCTCAATCACTTTCTGTAAGTTATTGTTTTATCACCGACAACTTTACGCATGTTTTTTTATATAAAAAAGTCTAGTGCAAAATTTGCATTATTTTGTACACACCTTTAGCATTAGTTAGATGAATTATAAATAGATATGAAAGTGGAAAACAAGATTGATCAGAGATATATATGATAGATGTATTATGATTGGAAAATCTGAGAGTTCTCATTGGGGAATAAAGTTGTATGAGAGATTGATAAATCAGATACCATATTGTCTACAATCGCTTTATGTAGCCATGCATACCATTTTCATAAAGATATTGTTATTATTTTTAATGATTACCATGTTTTTTCAACCCAATGTATTGCAGCTGAATGACATTTTTACCTGGAAAACTGAAAAAATTAAGAAACAAGCAAAAGGTCAACCCCAAAAAAAGTCATGGTGAGAATAACAAGTCTTCTTGTTGCAAATAAAACTTATTGGAATAACCTAGTTAACACCTTAATAAGTATTAATCATTAACCAGGTTATTCCAGTAAGCTTCACTTCAAACCAAGGTTACATAATAATTTGTTTTATCATATGACCCGTACGGCCCTGCTCACGCGTTCCAATAAAACCATTGGAAAAAGTCACGTGATGGGGGGCCGGACGGCTTTAAGCAAGCAGGGCCGTACGAATGCGTACGGCCCTGCTCGAATCCGCGCGCTCTCTCTTTTTTAGCTTTTATTTACTATTTCTTTCTTTCTTTTATTTTTTATTGATTTTTTCGTGAGGGTCATATGATGAAATGCTTATTGACTGAGTTAGGTCGGGCTGTACGGGAAAATATTTGGCTCTCGGTCATTTGCACGGACCTCCCTGCGCTCAGTCCGTACGGCATCACCTCGAGCCAAATATTTTCCCGTACTGCCCTCCCACTCAGTCAATAAGTACATATTATCAACCAAAGATTTAATAACTATGTTCTGAGCTTTCGGCCTACTTCGCCATCCTCAGGAAAATGAAAAATGCGATCAAACCATGGCATATGTGCGCGCGCATTAAATTAAACAAATTCGCGCGCGCTTAGTAAAAAATAAATAAAACAAATTAATTAATTAATTAAAAATAAATAAATGAAT